CACCCACACCCTGAGCTCCCCTCTGGGACCCTTCAGAAAGGATGAGCTCACTAGCTTTGAGCCAACCATTGGATCATCACCCACTTCTGGGGTCTGGGGAAACGTCTCTGACCCTGAGTTGGAATTAAGCCATGGGAGCCCAGCGATGCTGCGTGACACCGGCCAACTGAAGATGAAGATGAAGGCGGAGAAGAGAGGAGGGGAGGCATGACTGGGTGGCTTCACTGCCCGTGGTGCTGGACCAGTCTGGGCCGGGCCCAGCCGCACTAGGGAGAAGCGCTCCCGGCTGGGGGCAGTGAGCATTTCTCAAGGACTAGCCAGGGCTTGGGGCAGCCCCCGCGGCCCCAGAAGAGAGGGAGCGGCACGAGGGGGTAGAGGGGACGGGAGGCTAACAGCAGAGAGCGCCCAGCCACGGACCTCTCCTGCCGTGGTCAAGGGCCTTTAACCAGACGGGGTCTCAGGGAACCCAACCGGGGCTCTGTAACAACCTGGGGCAGGGAGGGAGGTTCAAGGTGTACCGCAGGGTGTACCTGCGGCTGATTCACGTTGGTATTTGGCAGAAACCAACACAATCCTATAAAGCAATTATCCTTCAATTAAAAAATAAATTTAGCATTTAAAAATTCTCTGAAAAAAAAAGAACGGGATCTCCATCATTGTCCAGAGGTGACCAAGCCAGCCAGTCCTCAAGGGTGCCGCAGCTCTTCCCATGGGGACGCCCTCAGGCCTGGTCTGGCTGAGGGGCAGCGGAGCCCCAGAGTCGGGAACAGGCACCCAGAGACGAGACGCTGGCGACGACTGTCAGGGCATCCAGAGGGTGAGGAGGAGAGGGTTAGGTCTGTGTACTTTTGACAAAGGAAGGAAGTTAGGGTCAGGGAACCCTAACCCTAACCCAAGAACCAACATGAGCCGGATCAACCAGAGGAAGCAGAAAGGCTGCCCTCATTTGCTCTGTGGCATCAGAATTCACCCTGTGTAGGAGAACAGCGCGTTTTTAAACAGCTTCCACTGGAGAAGGCAATGGCAGCCCACTCCGGTGTTCCTGCCTGAGAGTCCCATGGACAGAGGAGCCTGGTGAGCCGCAGTTCACGGGGTCAGAGAGGCGGACGCGACTGAGCCACTGAGCGCGCACACGCTGCCGCCTTGACGCTAGTAGGTCTGCAGCGTCTCACGCACTTTGACCACCACCTTGAAGACACTGAGGCAGACCTGGCACTTCGCAAAATTCATGCCACACGGGGAGACAGGATGTGAATGCAGAGATCTGTTTAAATGCAGAGCCTGGGTGAATTACACAACATCCTGTTCGTTCCTCTCAGACTGGTTTCAAAAAAAAAAGAAAGGCAAATATTAAGACTGAAGACTTCAGGAGGGTGTGTGAAAATGTGAATGACAAGGCCTGCCTTGTGGAGTAGGGTTACAGGTCCGGGGCCAGCTCCATCAGGCTTAAGTAGGTCAATGGGTAGAGGCTACAAGGATGCAAGTTTCAACCTTCCAACAATGTTCTCATACTTACAACTGCTCAAAACAATGTGCCAAATGGCCTTTATGGAGAGATGAAGTAAAGGATGCTATCTGGATAGAGCCAGCTCCTAAAAAATTATATCCAAGAATTTAAGTATATGGAGAAATGTTCAGGATAAAAAGTGAAAGAGGATTTTAAAAATATGAATATATTATTCTATTTATATAATATCCAGAATAGGCAGATCCATCGACACAGAAAGTAGATTAGTGTACCAGGACTGGGAAGGGGGTGGGGAGGGACCGCTAACAGGCTCAGGGCTTCTTTCGGGTGATGAAAACATTCTAAAATCAGCGTTGACGGTTATACAATGCTGTGAGCATATTAAAAACTACTGAACTCTATGCTTTACAAGGATGAATGTTATATGACATGAATTATACCTCAAAAAAAAGGTATAAGGAATGCAAAAGACTATAATACGTATATTGCATATATGCAATATGTAATTATATGTAAGAAAGAATATCATCCTTAATTAAAAAAAATACACATATAGATCTTAGTTTTGTCAAATATATCTCTGTATCCATAAGACAGAAAAAATTCTGGAAGGAAATACAAAGTGTTAACTATCTTTTACAGGGTAGCGGGGTCAGTTGATATCACAAATCTTATACAATAAACAGCATTTTTATTAGAATCAGAAAAATGGTGTTCTGGTGGTTTAGTCGCTCAGTGACGTCTGACTCTTGTGACCCCATGGACTGTGGCCCACCAGGCTCTTCGTTCTGTCCATGGGATTTTCCAGGCAAGAATGCTGGAGTGGTTGCCATGCCTTCCTCCAGGGGATCTTCCCGACCCAAGGATCAAACTAGCGTCTCCTGCATTATAGGCGGATTCTTTACCTGCTAAGTTACCAGTGAAATATCACAAACCTTATACAATAAACAGCATTTTTATTAGAATCAGAAAAATACTTTTGTGAAAATGGGCCTGCCTTTTGAGGTTAACAAGTTTCTTGTCATGGAAAAGTTTGAGAATCACCAGATATGGATACTTACAACGGGAATGCAATGTATGTGCTGGTCCTTTTAAGATATTTTCATTTTATAATTTGTCTTCACTTATTTTCTATTTGTTTATAATGACTACACTACATGAACTAGTCCTTTAACTAAAATACTATCATTTTATAATTATTTTCTCACTTTTCTGCTTTTTAAAAATAATCCATTATCTTAAATATTGAGTCTGCTATCAGTCTGCATGGGGAAAAAAATTATCTTTAACTACCAAACATAATAACAAAAAAACAAAATCCCAACTTGAAGGGTATATTAAGACTCAGAAAGGGGAAGAAAAAGTTTAAAAGCAAGCTATACATGCTTATATGCAGCCAGGATAAAAAGAGTATTATGTTGTAACAAAATGTTTATGAAATTATCTTACTAGAGGAGGAGAGTCTGGGATTTTCCCTTGTATCTTTGTAAAGGTGAAAACAGAACTGAAAAATGTGACCTTTGCTGGGACTCCCCTGGCGGTCCAGGGGTTAAGATTCCGCACTTCAAAGGCAGGGAAGAGTGTTCAACCCTTTGTTGGGGAACTAAGATCCCACAGGCCTCAGGCACAGTACAAAAAAAAAAGCCACATTTGAAATGCTATGGGAATGTGTAAATACACCCTCACTTCCGAGGCTGCAGACACACAGGCAGGACATCAGTGACTCTTATGCGGGAGACTGTGTTTTTTTAACCCAGACTCAGGGATGGTCAGCGGGGACGCAGCTCCACCCCGGCCCTTCCGAGGGCTCCGGCAAGCGGCTCCTCCCGCCCCGGCACAGGGCTGAGGGCGGTGGGAGAGAAGCGGCTGCAAGCTATAAAAAACTTGCAGTTTGATTTCCTTCTAAGGCAGCCTGAGTCACTGGACGCGGCAGCCACAGGGCCCAGGGAAGCTCGGCTCAGATTGGAAGTGTGTGTGTGTGCGCTGTTCCTCCAGGGCCAAAGCTGCTGAAAATCCAGATGACGTCGTCACTTGGACTGAATCTCCCGCCGGCAATGAATGGCAGCTTCCTACTTTTGTCCTGCCAGGAAGATGGAAGTTGCTTCGTGATCAGTTCCCTTGACCCACGTTCCAATATTACATCCCACAGTCTTAACAAAACTTACCCTCTGCTCCATGGGGTCAGAGAGTCGGACACGACTGAGCGACTGAACTGAACCCTCTGCTCCACCCCTGCCACGAGACTTTTAAAACCCCACTCACCACCTCCAAGTATCAACACGCCTGTCCTCCTTTGCCTCCCACCCTCAGGCTGCAATTTCTATTTCAATACCAAGTGATGCCAAGCTGGGCTGGTCAGACTCCTAGAGCCACGGGCAGAAGGTACCTGGGCTGCCCTGCTGGCCCAGTGGCGAAGAACCTGCCTGCAGCGCAGAAGACGCGGGTTTGTGCCCTGCGTCAGGAAGACCCCTGGGGGGGAAGGCAACCCGCTCGTCTCCTAGCCTGGAGAATCCCATGGACAGAGGAGCCTGGTGGGCTCCAGTCCCTGGGGCCGCAGTCAGACATGACTGAGCGACTAAACAAGGTAGCTAGTCCAGTACTTTTTGAACTCAGGGTAGAGAGGGAGAGAACCTGTCCACGGCTACAGGCCAGGCCTGAGGTCTCAGCAGCGGGCTCGGTCCCCGCGGGGGCACCTCCACCCTGCAGACAGGGGCTGGCGGCGCAGAGGCGGAGGTTCCCAGCGCGCCTCTGACCAGAGCGGGGCCTTAACCTGCGGCCGTTCCTTCTCAGCTCTCGGCGAGGCAGCCGGCGGAAGGCCCTTCTGCAAACACAGGGGGCAGCCGGGGGACGCCGTCTCCAGACCGGGGTGGGGGCCAGAGTGGCGAGGCCCAGGCCTCCACCCCCAGGTTCTGATGGGGAGCACCACCGCCCTGCCCCTCTCCCAGCCGCCACCCGGACTCGGCCGCTCCTCAGCTGTCCTGCCCAGGACCTGGGCAGAAGCAGCTGCTTATGGAACTGTCAATTCCCAGCTAATATGTAAACCCCCATCTGATGTCTAAGTGTACTTCTTCACACAATTTCCAAACAGACTTGAATTAACCTTGAGGTTAAAGAGGAATCAGTCTTTTCATGGTGTGAATTTTCCACACAACGCCAACAGGGATACATTGAAATGCCAGGATACTGTGTTAAAATGTCAGCTATTAACACCTGAACTGTATTTTTTTTTTAGTATTTGGCCACTCCGGGCTTCATTTCATTGCAGCATATGGGGTCTAGTTCTCCGACCAGGGCTTGAACACAGCTCCATGCCCTGAAGGGAGCGCCTTAGCCACTGAACCACAAGGCTAAGCCCCCAGACCTGAACTTTCAGAACAGGGTAAGGCCAGAGTGGGACGTCTCTGTGGTGGCTCTGGGCCCTCCGCTACTGTACTAGGGCCCAGGCAGAATCACACCTGTGGGCAGGTACAGCTTGTTCACTGAGCAAACGGAACGGACGGCAGCGCGGGCTAAAAACCTCCAGAGTTCACAGTTAGAGATGAAAGGCTGCAGAAATGTTTATTGAATACAGTGCCAGGTTTATAAATAAAACTTATTTACAATTTCCATAGAGTTGGTCCCCCATCAGAGAGGTGGTTAAATCCCCAAACAGTTTATCTCAAAAAGATTTACAGAAACATTCAAGCACATCTCCTTCGCAAATCGCCACGATGCAGGGTGACTTCCGTAACAAGAGAACTACCACCATCTTGGCTACAGACGTGTTTAACAAACATCATCATGAATTTGGAGAAAGAACACACACTCCACCGCCACTACCTTCTTCCTCAGAGGGATACAGACAGCAGAGAACTTCTGTCTCCTGCAGAACAACTTCAAGGGATCAGTAAGAGCTAAGAGTAACCGCCAGCTGAAGGATAGAGTAAGACACATTCGTGGAAATCTAGTCACTGCCCAAAGGATAGGTGTCTTCAGGATATACAGTAATTACTTCAAATGTTGAAAGTGACTGAACCAGGAGCAGACTTGACCAAATTTACATTCTTTGTTCAGGAGGAAGTTCCCAGGACTGCTGAGGGGCCGCTAGTCACACTGCTTCTCCAACGGCCCAAGGCGCGCCAGGCCGACTGGACAGCCCTGCGTGACGACGTGGTCACGAGTACAGTCAGACATGCGTTTATAAAGAGGATATAAAAATATGTACAGTAGCTAGTTTTCAGTGTTTGAAAGTTGCCGAAAGTCACCAATTTAAAGTGTGCAAAAAATTCGTTTGTCAAAAAACCAGGAAAAAAAAAAGCCTTCCTTGGCAGCAGTGCATCAGAAGCCCATCTGAAACATCCAGACACGGCTGCTCAACACCTACCCCGAACAGATGGAGAACGCAACCATGAGCGTGTGCGCCAAGGGCTCAGCCGTTTTCTATGGCAAGTCTCAGGCTCAAGCGGATGCCAGTTAAACTAGTCACTCTATATGTATATAAATATATGTATATGTATTTATAGAGCAGTTAGAAGTGGGGCCAGAGTTTACAGGAAGTCTGGCCGAGTTTCAGAGTTGTGCCCCCCTCGCCCAGCTCACCTCCTCACAAACCCCCGTGGACTGCAGACACCTGACCCTTGGGGGCTGGTCGTCCCCTCCAAGGCCAGAAAGGCTCCAGTGGACCAAGCTTCCCCTCGAGGCCAAACTGGACTCAGCACCCCCTGGGGGTACGTTTCTGGTTCCTAAACAGGATCCTGGCCACTAAGAATCTGGCTACAAGGGTGGTCTTTTAGGAAAGGCTACAGGACCAACATGGAGTCCACTCAGCTTCTAGAAAAAAGACATGGTGAAAGGGTTAAGATAGAAGGCAAAGTTCCTGAAAAACAAGCCAAATTGTCCTTAACCCTTTTTAAAGCTACCAAGAAGTCACTGGCCACAGGCCTGACAATGGGTCAACAGTCTGGCTACTTGACCTCCCAGCAAGAAATATCCAGGTTACCCACTTCCTCGAACCAGAAACCCCAGTCCTATCTCACCAGGAGAAAACCTCCACGGTACTGAGATGCTCTTTCCAGATTCAGGGAGTTAACGAAGCCAAGCCTGGCCCACGATGCCAAACTCTCTTCTACCGACCACCCAGCCTAGAGACCAGCAGCCAAGCAAGGGGCAGGCTCCTCCCCATGGCTCTGACCCGCCCCTCTGGCGGGGAAAACGAAGGAGCTGCAACATGCCAGAGAGACGGGGAGCAGGAGACGGAGGAGCGCAGGGTCTCCATAAACCAACCCTGAAGGCACCCGATAGGCGGCAGAGCGCATCCCACCGCCTCGCTAGCAGCCTGCTGCTGTTCCGGGACAAAGGAAGACCGCCCACACAGGAACACTCAAAACCCAATCTCCTAGTAAGATGCAACCAGTTAACACCCTGACAAATGCACATTCAGCCTTCAAAAAGAGTTCTGCACTAAACCCAATATGCTTTTTAGGGGACTTTTAGGCAGACCAATCCCATCGCCAAGATCAGTACCAGCATCTCTTTAGTTTCAGTTACAGTTTCGTAAAGAAATACAAAATTCCCTCTGGGCTGGAGTTTTACTTCCAAGCTGGGGGTCAGAATTGGTTCTACTGGGGGCAGGGGGCAGGGAAGAGCCAAGTCAAGTTAAAAAGTAGAAGTCTAAAGTTAAGTACAATCATAAATTAAAAATTGTGCATCAAAAGGTGACCGGTAGTGTCCGTTAGGCATGAAGAGACTGGCTTAGAAAAGTGACCACTGCTTCTACCACACACAGCAAGGATTCAATTACAGACGCACTAAGTCATCTCTTGCACAGATGGTCTCAAAGTCACATAAAACAGGTAATCAGCAGCACAACTGATAAGAACCCCTAAATACATGCTTGAGAGAAAGTGGTTTTTGTTTTTTCCTTCAAGAGTTCTACTGCCTGAATAATCAGTTACCATGATTCACTCCCCCCTCCCCCCAGTGAAAATACAAGTAGACCCACATGTCCGTAAACAAGATGAAGCCATCAGTATCTGCTTGGTTTTGGGCAAGGTCTTGGGCTCAGTGGTTGGTGCTAGGATGCATGTCTGTGTGGGTGGGGGGTACCTAATGCTGAGCTGTGGGCATTTTTAAAGGTACACTGGCCTCCCCTCCGACTGGCTCATCCCCGTTTAGGTCTGAGCTTTACAAAGCATTTAACACCACTTTAAGTTAATGGTCTTTTTATTGGAAAAAAAAAAAAAGACTAGCATTTACAACTTGGAATGGACGTAAATTGTAAATTTCTTGAACAGCAATGTTGATGGTTGTGCTGAAGTCCACAGCCACAGCCTACTCTGCCGGCTCCAAGTCATGGTTCAGAAGGTTTTAAAAACAGAGAGTCCAAAGATGCTCCCTTGGTAAAAGTTTCTTTTTAAAAATTTGTATGAATGGTGATAGCCTGACACCCATTCCGCTCTAGCACAATGCAGACAACGCCAGACACACACAGGCGTGCCACCAGGGTGTGTCACGGTCACCAGGGGACGACGAGGCCCATCCTGCGGCAGTGGGGCTACGCCCGGACAGTTATCCTACACAGCATCCTGAGGTGAACCAACCTTAAACGCCTCTTCTCAGTAAACCAGCTACGACAATGTACGCTAACAATTTGAACTAGAACCCTTTGAGTAGGTTTTGAATTTGTTTTTTTCACTTTTTCATTTTTAATACAAATGCCTGACTGTGTTCAATTGTCAAGCTGCATGCATGAAAAACTGGCCAGCCCAGACAGTGTTATTAATCATGAGCAGATGGACCTGCCAGGAGTCCACTAAGCGCGTCCTTATTGTTAAGGTAGGACAAGTATTTATATCGGAAAACTGATGTGGAGCTTGATCTTTAGGGGACAGGACCACCAACCAATACATGCAGATTTTTTGTGTGTGTGGACAGAAGGTACTTTTGACATTCAGTTTTGCTATATAGAAACAGAATGAGTAAATGAATTTTTTTTTTTTTTTTGCAAGAGGTAAGTAAAAGATTCAATTTGATTCTTCTAGGGGGGGGGGAGGAGTTGAAAGTAGGTCTTCATTTTGCAGTCATCATCTGTACGAATTCTGAAAAGACAAATAATCATAACTTTCAGTTACCTTCAAAAGCAGCTTTAATGGACATAACATCTCTAGTCTGCATAAGGGGAAAAACCCCTAGCTGAAGTAGTTACCTTGCTCACAGACCCTAAAGGGAGGACCGTTACAGAGCAAGCTGAGGAGGCAGCGTTTTACCTTCGTAGTTGACCTGCCCGTCTCCATCGATGTCCGCCTCTCTGATCATCTCGTCCACTTCCTCGTCGGTCAGCTTCTCCCCCAGGTTTGTCATGACGTGGCGCAGCTCTGCGGCGCTGATGTACCCATTGCCATCCTGCGGACACGCCGCGCGGTCAGGGCAGGACTCGGCGCCGTGTGCCCAGCCGGGCTCTGACGGGGCACTGCCCCCGTGAGCTCCTGCCGGCTCACGAGCCCCCCACCCCCACTGAACACATTCAGGCAGGAGAAGCCGCAGGGGCTTTTACAAAGCAAAGGCAATGGCAAGTCAGTCAAGAAACCTGGGTCAAAATTTCTCTATTATTTATTATGCTTACTCTCTATGATAAGGTTACTGCAATAAGTCAAATATTTGAAAATGAGATTACAGACGGTGAGGCAGGTAGGTAAAGTGTTCTAACTGGAAAAGCAGGTGAAAGCTTCTAGAAATGAGGGGAAAGTCGTATTTCACTAGAGTCAGCAATGCAGACACAGGGTTACCTTGTCAAAGACTCGGAACGCCTCGCGGATTTCTTCTTCGCTGTCGGTGTCTTTCATTTTTCTAGCCATCATAGTCAGAAATTCTGGGAAGTCAATGGTGCCATTACCTCAAATTAAAAAACAAAAGCTTGTGTAAGATAAATGCTCCAGTTAACGCTACTCAAGAGAGAGACTTTTAGAATCACTTTATAGAACAGTAAACATCTGGTAAGACAAACTGATGAATTGCTTTATCAGGTTGAATTACCTTAGGTCTAAACTATTCAAAACTTCCCAGAGCAATTTCACATGATTCATGTAATTCAAACTAGTAATCAATGGCCAGGATAGCATTTAATGATGCCAAGGAAACTGCACACACAGCTTCTTGGCCACTGAAAGGTCTGTACAGTTCAGCGGGGATGGGGGTGGGAAGGCCACCGCACTGCTGGCTGAAATCTTTCCACTCCCAAGGGAGGCACCTGAGACCGCCTTCCCCCAAGTCAGGGAGATCCCTCGATCAAAGTCCGCCTACACTAGTGATGCTGGTGAAGGCCCATCACTGAGCCACCAAGGTTTTTAAGGAAGAACGCGAGTGGGAAAGACGTGAGTGGGGAAAGGTGACTCTCATGCCAGGGGCCATGAGTGCAGGAGAGTCTTCTCCAGGAGGCGCTTCTCAGACGCTTTATGGGAAGTCACCTAACTGTTTTCTCCCAACTCGCTATCTTTATTTCCTACTAAGGGCATGGGCTCGAAAGCATTTCCTCAGCTCAGATCATTAACAATCAAGAAACTGTCAGCAGAATCTGTTCTGTGGCCAGTATTCCAAACTCCTCCTTTAAAACCAACAGACGAATATGCCAGAGACAAGCCACCAGATCAACAGTGTAACTTGAACTAAACAGAAATAAAAATTAAATTAGAAGGAAAAAAAGCCTTATGAGAAGCTACTCTTTCTCACCAGTACCTTTACAACAAAGTAATAATTCACAGATTCCTTCAAAGCGTTTTGGCCTCCAAATATTTAAAGCATTATTGATGTTCATGGCAAAAACCAGTTGTCTGAAATGATCTCTTATAGCCCTATAGCGATGTCCTTCAGCATTTCAACATATTCATTCACTGCAAATGTTAGATTCCATGGCTTGAGAAAACTTCCCCTCCTTGTTCCATACAATCCGAGGGCCTAATACATTTTGCCAGTCCCCAGTTTCCTGGGCTAGACTATAAGACAGCCACCCTATGTTCCCAGATGGCTGATCACCTTAGCAGTCAAATGAGACAGAACTATGAATAAACCTCTTTCTCCAAATTGTTAATGATGAAAACAGTCTTAAGAAGTAGCTCAAATGGACTTAAACCACTGTTAAAGAGCTGACTCCAAACCCCTGCTTCTAAATATATGTGACCAGCAGTGTTAACTGTTTTATCACATTATACCATACTTCTTTATTATACCATATTTTTAAATGGCTACTATCAAGCTGATCAAGAAAGTCTAGATCCAAACTGTTCATTCCTATTTCATCTTTTCAAAATTTACTAATGTTCTACAATGTTATGTTTATAGAGTTAATTAATTTACTTAAATATATAAATCAAACCTAATTTAATACTATTTCCAAAGCACATGGCTCTTCTTTGGGGGAAGAGGGTAGTGATTAAAAACTACTTACTGATAGAAGCAAGCAGTAAAAAGGTCTCCTGTCCACTGCTCTGGAATCCAGAGAACAAATGACCAAACAGCCATTTGCTTCTGGCTCCACGTCCTCCTAGTAGCTTCTATAAATCTAGTTCCTTTGGTCATCATGCACCTCACCCCCAAGCCTCACGTGATCCCTGAAATTCTCCTCAATAAACACATAGACAGCTCACACTGTACTCACTTTTATACATTAACATCTAAGAAGGTTCTTCTCCCACTTCACTTGGGGTGTCTCCTGAGATGACCAAGCTTTTTAAAAGGTCTGTGGCTATTCATTTTTACTTTCCCCACAGTACTCAGTGCAGACTCATGGGCTAGTCGATAAAAGACTGAGTTACAGGTCATGGCAAGCAAAAAAGAACAATACTGTGATCTGATCCAGGAAATGTTCTGGACAGCAAGCAGGGCTAGAGGCAGGCCTGAAATCTTCTATTTTAATTGTCAACAGCTGTAAGGAAACCACACAAAGGATCTTTGCACACTTGCCTTGCTCTTGACACCTGAAAGACAACCTGTTAACGTGTCTGAACTTGAATTACACAACACTGCATTCCTTCACAGTTCCAAAGCCCTTACCATCAGCATCCACCTCGTTGATCATATCCTGCAATTCAGCTTCTGTTGGGTTCTGACCCAACGACCTCATGACGGTTCCAAGTTCCTTGGTTGTGATAGTGCCATCACCATCTTTGTCAAATAGGGAGAAAGCTTCCTTGAATTCTGAAAACACAAGTTTACCTTTTAGAATGAATGTCTTCACCCAACCCAGTCACAGCATGCCCATCCCCTGAACTTGCCAAAGCAAGCCAAGTTGTGCAAGTTAGCAGAAACCGCCTGCTCTTTATCTGCTGAAACAAAGACCACAGCAGTCACGCTGGATGCGCCCTCACAGAGAACACACGTCACTCCAGGCAACCAGTTCCATAAAACAAAATTCCCACATTTTTAAAGGCTAAGCTTCAACAGTTTAGTACTAGGTCCCATCTGACAAGGGAAGGTGGGTCCGCATGCTCCCTGAAGGTCCCTTCCTGTGATGTAGCTCCACAGCCGTAAGAACGCCTTGTTTCACAGCAGCAGGAGAGGCAGGTACCAGAAATGGGACAATCCCTGGCAACCAGTGTGTTCTCTCTGCACGGCATTCAGAGTATGTCAAAGGCAATCCTGGTTTCCTGAAGAGAAACCATCTCAAAAACCCCTCCAGGGACTTCCCTGGCAGTCCAGTGGTTAAGACTCTGCACTCCCAATGCAGGGGGCACAAGTTCGATCCCTGGTTGGGGAACCAAGATCTGGCATGCCACATACCGAGGTCAAAAGAAACCAAAAAAGTCCTCCAGGGAACATTAAAAGCTAAAATCTACACTAACTTCATTCCCTTCCTGATGATTACGGTGGTCTTCACTATCCTCCTCACCCATTCCCATTTAGAATAGCAAGCACAAGCTTTCATAGTGCGTTACAAAGAGGTGTAAGAATTCTAAACTACATTTCTGAATAGCAGGCTCCATGCAATCTCATTCTATACAAAGCCTAGCACACCCTGAAGTACCCCAGAGTGTACCAAGTGCGTATCCTTAGTTCCACTTACTTTTACATTATCTGACAATCTCTACAAAGGCTGACAAGGAGTAACATTTAACCTAAATGTCTCTGCTTGTTGTGGCGTTTAAATAAAGTCCTTAGAAAACTGCTTGGACTAAGGGGAGAGGAAGAGTCACCAGAACTGAGTCTGCCAAGACCCCTGTGGTCATCCACTTACCGGCAATCTGCTCTTCCGTCAGCTGATCAGCCTGCAGAGAAAGAGGAAAGGTTATAATTCAACCCAGGGGAGACTGGAGTCAGCATAGCTTTTCCAATTAAGTCTTTTAATAGTGATCTTTCTCGGCTGTGAAAATCTCAGCCCTGTCATTTAAGAGAAACAATTAGAATGCAGGGAACCCTTTATGCTGTTTTAAAAACAAAGGATGACAAGTTAGAAACAAGGTCTCACTTCAGGTTTTCTTCTCTGGGCCTACCGGCGCTCTGCTCTGCGGTGGGTCGAACGAGGAGAGTCAGTTCATCATTTGAGAAATGGCACCTCTAGCGGCAACAGGCCCACTGCAGCAGCCGCAGGGCCCGGCTCTGGGAAGAAGGGCGCCACCTACTGCACGGAGACGCCGCGATCCCCGCGGCCATCCGCGGAGGGACCCAACCTGCCGCGGCTGGCCCTGCAGCCAGGACCCGGGCCAGGTCAGGCTTTCAGTGCACCTTGCGCACCGCTGCGGGCACTCCAAATCTCCAAACTGGCGTTACATAATGGCATTGGCTTGGATTAACAGGCTTTTATATCTATTTTATGAGATACAATTAAGAGGAAAATATATACATACAGCAATGGGTTATCCTACCAACTTCATTTCCATGCTTTCCAATCACTTAAATTAGGCAGTTATTTGTTAAAAGCCTACCATTGAGAACAACTAAATGTCCTTCGTCAAATTATCCTATGATTCAAAAGTCGGGGGGGGGGGGAGAATAATGGAACGGTCCTACAATTGAGCTGTTACAAAACTGCAAAAATGAAGTACACAGAAACTACATAATAATTATGAGCTTGTACCCTCTTTTTTTGAGAGGAAGTATTAACTTTGTTAGAGGATATTCACTCTACCCATTTTAAGAGTGATAAGAGCTGCTCCTAATAAACACACTTTACTAGAGATGGTAATGGCCACGAAGGTAATTCTCACTTGCATTATTTGGTCTCTGCAACGCTGATCTTGTGCCTCCAGCCATGGGAATTCGGGATCTCAAGGACAGATAACATGTATTTTTATTTTAATGAAGGATGTCTTAACGAAGCCAGTTCCAAAACAAGTCCTAGTAGAAAGCTGATGGTAGTTTATCCGAACTCTCAAATGAAAACTTTCACAATAAGAATGATGTTCCAACATATTGACTTAAGGAGGAAACGTTTTTTTTTTCCAAATTAGAACTGTCTCCTCTCCTCCCTACCCCAGACATGGCACGCCGGTTTTCTTATAAAGAAAGGAGACACGAGGATTTATGTAATGCCAGGACTACGTCTCTGCCTCTTACAACAGGAAGCGCTGCCGGCCACACCTCGCAAGAAGCTGTCACCTCGCCGGGGGAAGTGTCCTCTGAAAGTGGAGATCGAGGCTGTCGGCCCGTCTCGACACAGAAGGACACGCTCACCGCCACAACGCGTCGGCCTCGGGGCAGAGGTGCGCGGGCCCCGCCGAGAGCCGCCTCCCCGCCCCGCCGAGCCAGAAAGACGGGGGGTGATGTCAGCTCTGCCGGCTGGGGGATGGCACACCCGGAGAGGCGCACGGGCGCATCTGGCCGCCCGGGAGCCGCAGAGGCGGCGGAAACGGGGAGGGCATCTCCCCTCGGACGGGAGGGACCGCGGGCCGGAGAAAAGTGCCAGGCGAGGTGGCCCCGGGAGCAGGGTGCGGGGCGCCTCTCCTTCCAGGCCAGGGAGACCCCCCCACACCCGCTGCGGGCGGGGCCCGAGCTCGCCCCGCGCCACCCACCCGCTTCTGCCCTGCGCGCCGCCACCTCCCCCGGAGCACAAACTTCGCGTCTCCACTGGAGACCGCGACGCACCCTCCCCGGCTCCTTCCTTCCCGATCCACGCCCGCGCCGCGCCCCCCGGGAGGGAGGAGGGAAGAGCGCCCCGAGGGGACGGCGGCGGTCCCGCGCCCGGCCGCGGCGACGTGCGCCACCGGCTCGCTCCGGCCCATTCATTCTCGCCGCCCGCGAGCCGGAGTCGGGCCGCGGCCCCGCCCGGCCCCCAACCCCTAGGGCGGCCCGGGGGCGGACGGCGGAGCGGGCGGGTACGGGGGCCCCGGCGCGGCCAGAACCCCCGCCGGGGGCCGGGCGCGGCCAACCCTGGCCCCACGACGGGGCGAAACGTAAACGGTGCTGCCCGGTCGAGAAAACCGGGATGCAAACCCAGAGCGAGTCCTGAGCCGCAGCGGCTGCGCAACACCCGGAAGCCAGGAAAAGCCACCCCACGAGGGAAAGACGGGAAAAGAGACAGGATCGGGAGAGCCCGGGCAGGCGGCCGCGGCGCCGACACTCGCCGCGCCCCACCTACCATGGTGCGAGCGAGGCAGGGAGGCCGAGAGAGCGAGGGTGGCCGCGCCGGGGCCGGGACCGCAGGGCGCCTCCGCTACAGTTGCTGCCGGGGCAGCGCGCGGCCGGCGGCGGGGCTGGGACCCCCGGCGCGGAGAGGCGGGGAGGGGTGCGGGGCGCGTGCCCCGAAGAGTCCCCGCAGGGCCAGGACGGAGACAGAGCGGCTGCGTAGCCGACGGGGGGGTGGCTCCGGCTTCGGAAGCCCCCGCCCCTCGCCCCAGGCGTACCCCGCCGGCGAGACCCCCTCCTCCCCTTCCTACCCCCACCATCCGCCCCTCGCATCTCGCGCCCCGGGGCAGCGGGCTGGCCCTGGCCTCGCGGTCTCCCGCTGGCCCCCGCCGCTGGGGAGACGTGGGCAGTTCTAGGGTGGGGGCGGCCGCACCTTCGGCAACCGAGGACAGGGGTCTGGAGGGAGCAAGCGTCCTCGCGCAAGAAACTGCTTAGACGTTTGCTTTTCAAGTAATGTCGAAGACAAATAAACATATATGGTCGGTTGCTAAATCCGTGTCATGCTCAAATGTTTAGCCAGTTTTACCTTAATGTTTTTACGTTTCCACTGAATTTTTTTTTTGTATGCTTGAATAATCTCCATCTCCTACTGTATTTTTTTTCCCTTATGGAAAACACTGCTCATCCTGACCCTAGTCTTACTGAAATCAGTGTACTTGTACATCTTCTGTAGACTTTCAGACCCCATGCTCTGATTTGTGTGTGTGTGTGTGTGTGTGTGTGTGTTAGTTACCTGGTCCTAAGAGATCAGATCTTTATTCGTAGATCCACAGAAACAAAGAAGGAAAAAAATAGATACATAGAATCCCCTAGATTAGAGTTGGAACACACAGTTTAATTGACTCTACTATGGAGCTCGACCATTTTTAAATGCACAATTATATTTCCTTTCAAATAGTATTTTAATCTAAGATATACTCATATTTTCAATTTTCTGTATACCAGAAAAAGGACCATATCAGTTATAAATGGAAACTCCAGAACTTTGTAAAAATCTTGACAAAATGCTGCAGTTTCTTTCCTTGCCAAGGCGGAGCACAGAATCTGATCTCTTGTTTACGGGGCCTGGGCAACAGTCGAAAGTTACTATTTGCATACGCTTTCAGAGAATGTGGCAAAGTGTGTGACTGACAACCTCTGCTAGAAAAGGCTTGGCTTGGTTATGCTTGTTTCTGGCTTTGACACAGCCTGCAGAAAAGATGTTTTAAAACAATGGAAAATGTTTGGGCACATTGTAGGTGCCCAGGACTTGTTTGATAGCTTCAGACAAATATCTGTGGAACGGTTCTTACTGATATGCCTTCTGGAATGTGGTAGAAAGGGGGAACCAGCTGTGCAATTTAAAGGGAGGCTGCCACAGAGAGCCAGGGAATGGTGCTGCCTTCCCTCTGCAGATGAGAAAGACATCATCTACTGAACGTGATTATCACCATCATCCTGTCTTCCTGGGCGGAAACTTGAGTGGGAATAAACTGTATGTTAATAGGAGAGTTGGAAATAGGGGAAAAGGGACGAATACAGAGTCAATTAAAAGAATATTCAGTAATACAGTGAGTTACAGTCTAAATGGCCAAATATGCTAAGGGAATTGGTATTCTTTTGCCATGCTTTTCATACAGTAGTTAGTTAAATACATTTTAAAACTTGGTATACATTGTATAAGAAGAAGGAAAAATGGCCTAGAGATGAAATGTGTTTAATTCTTAGAGGTTTATTAGGTTCTGATAGTCTTCTGCTCCTTATAATTAAGTTGCTGGAATCTATGGTTTTGAAAACCAGGCAATTTCTAAAATAATGTTTCTTCTTCCATCATTTAATCTATTTCACCCAAATAAAACACTTTGAAACTTTATCATGACTTTCTTTGCTAAAGACTGTATTTCAAAGTCATCTTAACTGATTATAGTAAAATTCATTATTGTGATTCTTTACATTTTACCAGCTAGAGTTCTCTTTTGATAATTCTTTATTAAAGTACAGCTTTCAAGTCTATTGGATTTGTAATGAGGTCATGCTTTACTCAGTTTTATGGCAGTTTGACACATTGAAATATAAGAAGGTCAAGTGACTTGCCCAAGATCTTGCCATGAATCAGAGATGGAGCATAAAATAGAGTGTGAGCCCTTGTTCAGGGACTCTAAGATTAGATTATGTATTGACGAAACTAATATCTGAAAATTGAAAATGTACCATGTGAAGATTTATGTATTTCCTGAAGCAGGTTCTTCTGACCACCTGGATGATCGCTGGGTTTTCATTAAAGATTTAAGTGAATAAACTTTCTAATTTATGAAAAGGCCAGGAATCAAGAAATCCCTTGGATTGCAAGGAGATCCAACCCGTCCATTCTAAAGGAAATCAGTCCTGAATATTCATTGGAAGGACTGATGTTGAAGCTGAAACTCCAATACTTTGGCCACCTGATTCGAAGAGCTGACTCATCTGAAAAGACCCTGATGCTGGGAAAGATTGAGGGCAGGAGGAGAAGGGGAGGACAGAGGATGAGATGGTTGGATGGCATCACCAACTCGATGGACATGAGTTTGAGTAAACTCTGGGGGTTGGGGATGGACAGGGAAGCCTGGCGCGTGCAGTCCACGGGGTCGCAAAGAGTCGGACACGACCGAACGACTGAACTAAACTGAACTGAAGCCACATTGTTGTGAAGTCATTGGCAGGTGGATTCTTTACCATTAAGCCACCTTGGCTACAGTCCATGGGGTCTCAAAGAGTTGGCATGACTGAGCACAGCGCTGCATTGTGAAGTCATAATTTACTGAGAGTCAAAAGACTATGGAATATTTCACGATATTGAGAAAAAATGACTATTTAAATAAGTGAAAAGTGAAAGTGTTACTTGCTCAGTCGTGTCCCTTCTTCGTGACCCCACAGACTGCAGCCCGCCAGGCTCCTCTGTCCACAGGATTCTCCAGGCAAGAATACTGGAGTGGATTGCCATTCCCTTCTCCAGGGCATCTTCCCAGCCCAGGGACTGAACCCGGGTCTCCTGCATTGCGGGCAGATGCTTTACTGTCTGAGGCACTGGGGAATAAAGTAATGTTAAATTGAAGAAAAATAGAAAGAATGCAACCCCAAGTCAGGAATCTCCAATTTTAATATCATTTTTGTCACTAACCTGATCACCCATTTGAGTCTAACAGAAAAAATACAAATGTAATCAATGTACATATTCAGGGGTAAGACAGGTTTGGATTTAATCTAGGAATTCCTTCCAACTGTAAACCCTGTCCCTGAGATTATAATATATATGATTGTAATATACATGTATAATATGTGTTATCATATATGTCATATGTATGTGTACACACAAACATACTGAAGGTGAAGAAGGCAAATGGAAAAATGGAAATAGCTTAAAGATTAACACTTGATGGGACTTCCCTGGCAGTCCAGTAGTTGAGACTCTAGGCTTTTAATGCACGGGGCACAGGTTTGATCCCTGGTTGGGGAACTAAGATCTCATATGCCCTGTGGCACAGCCAAAAATTAAAACAAAAACAAACAAAAAAAAACTTGCTGAGCATTTGGCCACCTGATGCAAGGAACTGACTCATTGGAAAAGACCCTGATGCTGGGAAAGATCAAAGGCAGGAGGAGAAGGGGACGACAGAGGATGAGATGGTTGGATGACATCACTGACTCAATGGACATGAGTTTGAGTAAGCTCCGGGAGTTGGTGATGGACAGGGAGGCCTGGCATACTGCAGTCCATGGGGTTGCAAAGAGCTAAGCAACTGAACTGAACTGAGCATTGGCTATGGCCAGGCCCTGTGCTAACTGCATCATTCCATCCTCCTGCCCATGCTGTGAGGCCAGCATCATTATCTTTATGTAGAAACCGAGGCACTGAGAGACAGCGATTTGCTTAAGTGTTGAAACAAAAAAAATCTATTTCAGAGGACCAAGCATGTAAGCACTACACTATATCTCTTGTAATTTAAAAGAATTAATTTTTAATTTTTTTGGAAGAAAATAAGATTAAAATTTGGTTTTTTAAGAAGTACTTCTTACCCAAGGATTTAAAAGTAAAGTAAGATCATAGGAATGTAGCAATAGCTGTGCCTACCACAGCAGGAGCAGAGTGTATAGGAAAAAGCAAAACATTCGCTTTATGATGCTTCCTGGCCAGAGGACACTTTTGATTTTGCAAATGAGATCTAAACAGGTGAGGAGACTTGCTCACCATCAAACATGTAGTTGACGACTCTATGCTTTCATTGAAAGAGATAACCGAGAACTCTCCAATCCCAGTTCTATTCCATGATGCATCTCTCGGAGTTGGTATTTTATTTTTGTAAATGTTTTTATTTATTATTTATGGCGGTGCTGGGTCTTTGCCGCTGCGCCGGCTTCTCTCAGTTGCAGCGGGCGGGGGCCTCTCTCCAGCTTGACGCACAGGCCTCTCTCGCTGGGGAGCGTGGACCTCAGGGCGTTCGGACGTGAGCAGCTGGGACCCCTGGGCTCAGCAGCTGTGGCTACCGGGCTCCAGAGCACAGGCTCAGCAGTCCTCCGCGGCACGTGGGGTCTTCCCGGGTCAGCCACTGAACCCCTGCCCCTTGCATTGGGAGCCAGGTATTTTACCACTGAGCCACCAGGGAAGCTGAGAAGTTGGTATTTTAAACTAAATAGAGAGAAATGGATAGATGGATAGGCAGGTAGGTAGATAGACAGATCTTGTAGCCTTCATGGAGCTTACATTGTTCTGAGAAAATGACTGTATGCGTGTGGGGGCAGTGGGGTTGGGGGAGAGAGGTGGATGCTTGGCTTGATGGTTTTTATGAAGTAACAAGTCTAAATTCATTCACTATAACCGTAGGCTGTTGTGTCTTCATAGATGGATTATCTAGTTAGAGAATTTTCTTTAAGAAATTTGCAGTCCCAAACTGGAGCTATCTCACAGGAAAGAAATCTTGTCTTCGACCTCTCCGCCATCCACAGCCGCCTCTTTCTCTGTCCCATGGTCCAATATAATTTGATGATGATCCACCATTTGGGATTTTCTTCCTCACTAATCATCTCCAATAGCCAGAACAAGCTCCTGCTGTTTGTGTATGGATTTACATTTCATTAAATGTTATACAGGATTATTATATAAGCTTTACTATCTCTATCAATAACAAAATACCTCATTATTTTTCCACTTAAAATTTTGCTATTACAATATCTTTTTTTTTGCTAATATCCTTTATGAATGGCTCAGGTAAAGAAGTCAGGGATAATTCTAACATTACATTTAAATTTGAAATGCGTTACCATCATAAGGAAATAAGTGAGTTTTAAGCCATGATTTATTACCATGAGAAAAACATTATCAATTTTAGCATGTCTATTGTTGCATGCATGCATGCTTAGTCACTCAGTTGTGTCCAACTCTTTGCAACCCCATGGACTGTAGCCCACCAGGCTCCTCTGTCTATGGGACTTTTTCTCAGGCAAGAATGCTGGAGTGGGCTGCCATTCCCTTCTCCAGGGGGTTTTCCTGACCCAGGGATCTAACCTGTGTCTAGTGCATTACAGGCGGATTCTTTACCTGCTGGGCCATCAGGGAAGCCCTGTGTCTATTCAGAGTCCCAGAATTTTAAGTGGGGGACTAGCGTTTCAGCTTGCAGCAGTCCTCAGCATGTTAGCGATCTAAAGAGAAACAGTGCCGTTCCCCGTGAGTGTGTGCCCCACTCTTGTTAGCTCTGCGTCACTCTGCACAGTGGAGGACCAGTCTTGCCCAACATTCACAGCGCTTGTGCTTGTTTTGCTCGTAGCTGAGCTGATGGATCTGCATTATTCCCGCCACCCGGTCCACCCTTGAGACCAAGGTCATGCATATGCAACACGGCCAGCTGAGGTCAGGGATAGAGAACAGAGCAAAATAACCGGCAAGGAATGAGACTGGACCCCTGACTCGGGCCTCATTAGCTCTGTGCTTGCTTCAGTCGTGTCCGACTCTTTGCGACCCCATGGACTGTGGCCCACCATCTGTAGCTCCCCCGTCCCTGGGATTCTTTAAGCAAGAACACTGGAGTGGGTTGCCATGTCCTCCTCCAGGAGACCTGTGCTTTAATGGACTGAGATCTCAAGTCACAGGCAGCCAATACTTATACAGACTTAGGGACCAAGTATGTGTATTCAAATTCCAAAATGCCCAGTGGGATAAGATCATAGTTTTTTTTGCCTTAGTTGTTTACACTAAACTCAAACTGTTTTTTTTTTTTTTAAATTGCTCTGACCAATCGAGCACAGTATTCTCTTAAGCCATATTAATTTTGGAAATTTCCTGAGTCACCATTCTCCCCATTAATCCAAAAATCAAGTGCCAAAGTTACTTCAATCAACATCTGAACAGTAAGCAACGATGTCTCATTTCTACCATGTGTGCTAGAGTTGGGGACACACCAGAGAGCATGTTTAAGACATTCAGGCAACAATAGGCCTGTAGCAGTTTACAGATGATTTAACAACTAGGTCAGCGAAGGGCTCTGTGGCCACAGTGGTAAGCTGGATGGTAGGTTTTGGGGTGACTCAGTTTGCCTGAAGGGCACAGCCAGTGGTCAGCACAAATTGGTACTTTCATTGAGGTCCTGATATGCAGAAAACTGGACCACAATGATAAATCAGAGAAACTGATGCTGATGGTGGATTATACCAAAGAATGGGCCTCACCAATGCCAAGAGAACTAAGATCTACTCTGGTGACTGTGTGGTTTGGTTTTGACTCATAACGAATAACTTTGTCCTGCCTCTGGAGCTGTGGTGTCCACTAGCCATGAGCGACGTGTGGCTATCGAAATCAAAATGAATTATACTTTAAGTTTAGTTCCTTTGTTTCACTAGCCACCGTCAAGCACTCAGTAGGCTCACACGGTTAGCAGGGTTATCTAGCGGTTACCTAGTTGAACAGTGTAGACCATTTCCATCATCACGGAAGTCTTATTGGGCTGCACCAAGCTATACTGAGAACCCCATTCTAGAACTTTAAGAAAGAAAAAAGGAAGGAACATCCATGTTTACCTGGATCAAGAATCCTGCTGCTGCTGCTGCTAAGTCGCTTCAGTTGTGTCCTACTCTGTGTGACCCCATAGATGGCAGCCTACCAGGCTCCATCCCTGGGATTCTCCAGGCAAGAACACTGGAGTGGGTTGCCATTTCCTTCTCCATCAAGAATCCTGAGGGTCCCCCAAATTTTTAGTCTCATATATGTTATTCTTTGTTCATCCCTGACAACTTTGTTCCCTTCTGATCCATCCAGCACACAGTCACCAACGTAGTTTCATCCAGTATCTTCTCTGCTCAGAACTTTTCAGAGGCTCCCCAGTGCCTGCAGGAGATAAAATGTCAAGTCCTTGTGTCTAGCATTCAAAGCCATTCAACACATTGTTCACTAACTTTTTCAGCATTACTTCCATTATCCTACAAACATGGATTTTCTGCTTCAGATTGGTTTCCTCTCTGACCCCTGAACACACATTGCGTCCTCCCAGCTCACTGCCTTTCCCATGCCATTCCCAGTGTCCAGATGCCTGTCCAGATCCACGAGTGTGTGCGCCCGCATGTGCGCGTGCTCAGTCATGTCTGACTCTGCAACACTAGGACTGCAGCCCAGCAGCCTCCTCCGCCCATGGGATTTTCCAGGCAAGAACACTGGAGTAGGTTGCCATTTCCTTCTCCATGGGATCTTCCCAACTCAGGCATCATACCCCTGTCTCCTGAGCCTCCTGCAGTGGCAGGCAGATTCTTTACCAGTGAGCCACCTGGGAAGGTGCAAGTCGCTCAGTCGTGTTCGACTCTTTGCGACCCCAGCTGAGCCACAAGGGAAGTCACAAGGGAAGCCCCGTCCATTTCATTACCACCTATGGAAATCCCACCAGTCCTTCATGTCCTGTTTGAATCACATCTTCCACATCTTCCCAGTGATCACAGCTCTAAGTAGTGCTTCCTTGGTGACCCGGTGGTTAAGACTTCCCCTTCAAGGGCAGGGAGTGCGGGTTCAATCCCTGGTGGCCGCTCAGACCGTAAAGAGTCTGCCTGCAGTGTGGGAGACCTGGGTTCTATCCCTGGGTCAGGAAGATCCCCTGGAGGAGGGAATGGCAACCCACTCTAGTCTTCTGGCCTGGAGAGTCCCATGGACAGAGGAGCCTGCCAGGCTACAGCCCATGGGGTCACAAAGAGTCAGACAGGACTGAGCGAGTAACACTGTAGTTCAAAATAATTCTTCCTGTCTTCTTAATTCCTACACCTTTTACCCATTTAAAGTGAAGAGGAACTAAAAAGCCTCTTGATGAAAGTGAAAGAGGAGACTGAAGAAGTTGGCTTAAAGCTCAACATTCAGAAAACTAAGATCATGGCATCTGGTCCCATCACTTCATGGCAAATAGATGGGGAAACAGTGTCAGACTTTATTTTGGGGGGCTCCACAATCACTGCAGATGGTGATTGCAGCCATGAAATCAAAAGACACTTACTCCTTGGAAGGAAAGTTATGACCAACCTAGACAGCATATTAAAAAGCAGAGACATTACTTTGCCAACAAAGGTCCATCTAGTCAAGGCTATGGTATTTCCAGTGGTCATGTATGGATGTGAGAGTTGGACTAGAAAGAAAGCTGAGCACCGAAGAATTGATGCTTTTGAACTGTGGGGTTGGAGAAGACTCTTGAGAGTCCCTTGGACTGCAAGGAGATCCAACCAGTCCATCCTAAAGGAGATCAGTCCTGGGTGTTCATTGGAAGGACTGATGCTGAAGCTGAAACTCCAATACTTTGGCCACCTCATGCGAAGATTTGACTCATTGGAAAAGACCCTGGTGCTGGGAGGGATTGGGGGCAGGAGGAGAAGGGGACGACAGAGGATGAGATGGCTGGATGGCGTCACTGACTCGATGGACATGAGCTTGAGTAAACTCCGGGAGTCCTGTCCTCGATGATGGACAGCGAGGCCTAGCATGCTGCGATTCACGGGGTTGCAAAGAGTTGGACACGACTGACAGACTATACTGACTGACTGAACTGACTTGATATTATCTTTTCATATATTCCATCTCCTCATACTAGCAGAAGCTACCATCTTATACTCTGAACTCAGCTCAGTACCTGGTAGTAAATATCAATAGATTATTTAATTGATCAGTGCTGAGCTCAATTCACTGTTGGGCTGGAGAGGATATGAGAAATGAATTTTCCAAAGCAGAGAGAAAAGGAAAAGGAAGTCCTCTGCTGTAATCCCGCCACCGGAACTACCACCGGAAACGAGACTCCCTGGGGTGCAGTGGGTCATACTTCCTCAGGAACAGGCTGGACTGTTCCTGCTTTGATTCTGACCGGTACCCTTCTACAGCCCTGAACAAGTACCTACCTGGGTTGAGCCTTCCTTTCTGTGGCAGTTCTTTCCCCACTTTCATGTGACTGGATCCATTCTCAGCTTCCTGTGTGGAGAAAATACCACCAAAGGCGGGTTGTTGAATAGAAAAACTGGGCTTATCTCTGTCCAAGTCCAGTGAAGATGCTTTTGAGTTTTATTCATTCTAAGTAGAGACTCTGAGTCATTGGCTAATAGACCAACTCTAGGCACCACCAGAGGATGACTGGATCGTTTTGGCCACTGGGAAGATTTGCCTTCAGGAGAGTTTTCAAGCTATACCACGAGTACTGGTGGGCGCCTTTCTTCCCACATTCTCCCCTATAAACCAAAGCGAGGCACAGAAATTTTGTCTTCTTTCAATGAAGAAAGAAAGTTTTGTTATTTTTATTGTTCTGACAAAGAAAACAGTTATTTCCCAAGAAAGGGACAATATTGTACAATATTATCTGCCATGTTAAATGACTATTTCCTTAGCCAGTTAACCACACAGACTCAGCCATGGACTTGTGTGAGGGTTACCTAGGAGAAAAGAATGTCAAATTAGTTTGTAAACAATAAAGCCCTAAACAAACTGTGGTTGTTCATAATATTTTATAACATCAATCAGCTAAATATGGCAAAGGTCAGATAAAAGGCAATTCAGAATCAGTCAGGGAATCAAGCAGTTTCGGTGAATCCAACAATCCAGCAGTGGGAAGATCCAAGGCTTCCCATTTTTCAGCGCCCCCCATGGGCTGGTACCCAGGGCAACAAGCCCTCACAGCCTCATTTGCTCCACCACACCACTGGAATGCTGCTGAGTCATCACCCTCTCCTAGAGCAGCCAAAGAAATTGGTGACTCAGAGAACTGATTTATAGTTTCACGTTTCACTGCTCTAGCTCTCCTCTGACACACACAGTTTCCTTGTTGCACCTGTTTCACACAAAGCTTGAAACCTAGGTGTTAAGTCACTCAGTCATGTCCTACTCTCTGTGAATCCATAGACTGTAAATTCTCCATCCATGGAATTCCCCTTTACCTGTGGAATTCTCCAGGCAAGAATACTGGAGAGGGTAGCCATTCCCTTCTCCAGGGTATCTTCTTGACCCAGGGATCGAACCCAGGTCTCCCGCATTGCGGGCAGATTCTTTACTGTCTGAGTCACCAGAAAATGACCTTAAAACTGAATAGCAGCAAAATATAGAAGCCATGCTTTAAATGGTCTATTGACAAAGTGATTCTAATAGAGGCATTTCTGACTTTCAAATCCTAAAGAAAGGTCAAAAACTGATCAAAGTTATTCAGGACTTTGTACCTGTGGGAACTTTGTATTTTGAGGTACTTTGAGGTTTCAACCTCTGTTTTGTGTGGTGATACCACAGGCCCTCACAAAGCCATTTTTTACTTTCTAAACTCTGTTGCTTGTAACATTTGCAAGGTGGTCAGCTAGGTTAGAGGGTTAGGCATTGCTAAAGTCATGGAACAAGCTTTTCTTTCTGTGAAAAAGCACCATATTCTGAACAAGTTCAGTTATACCTGTTTTAATCAATTAAAGAAAAGAACCAAGTTTTTAGGAACCAGCTTATACGTTGCATAGTGAAAAATGAAGATATAACCATGATTATTCTTTACTAGCATTTAGAATATCCTGAAAAACACTTCAGAAGGTTATGAAAGAATTATAATTATATAACTACCTTTGCTTTCATTTGTTTATTACTCATCTCAAAAAAATGAGCTTTGCACAACACTGCAAATCAACTATACTTCAATTTAAAAATAATTAGCTTCTCTGAGCTCTTTTAGGAATAAAAAAGGGGACCTCTGCTAGCCTGAAGAAGCTGTAAGTAAATATGATAAAGCTTAACAAGAGGAAAGTGTCAGCAATTTAAATGAAGGTCAAAGATTTTAAACAAGCTGTATAGATAAGGCCTAGCACAGAGAACAATTCAGGACAGCCAATCCCTAAATGGAATCACAAAGTCCAAAGAAAAGTCATCCTGAGATTTTCCATCACTTGGAGGCCTTGCAGATGATAACATTCCTCTGCTCCCCTTAAAATGATTAATCTTTGATTAAAATGTTTTCAAAGGTCAAAGGAAAGTTCAGTCTAGTAAGATCCTAAAGGCTGCTCTGTCCTGAACTTGTACTTCTTGGAACGTAGTTTTCTTATCTGAAAATTGGAAAAGGGGACCCAGATGGACTTTGGTTCCTTTCAGACCAAATTTAGAATATTGTGATTCTAAATATTTTGCTTGTGAAACTTGTGAGGAACTTGTACCGAATTCCCTAGTAACTAGGAGACCCCTGGAGGTGTGGCTACAAATAGAGGTCACAGGGGACTTGACTCAAGATTTACATCTTTTTATAAATGGTAAAAATTAAGACCATTATAGAGTTCTTACTCTGTTGAATTATAGTTAAAATACTTAGAACAGACTAGGCCATGTTTACTCCAACTGATCAATCCTGGACATTTATTTCCAAAAATTGCCAAAAATAATCAAAAGCTGGGTAGAGGACATTATCTCTTTGCAAAGAACAGAAAAGCAACAATAAAAGGGGAAAGTAAGCATTTTTGAATGAGTCAGATTTTTTAAAAAATCATTTTCTTCTACATCTGTATTGTTCGAAGAACATAATAGACTATACAAAGGAAAGCTTGGAAATAAACCCTGCTATTTTAAAAAATAATGTCCCATAACGATAATATTTCCTTAATTTAAAAGTGGAGAAAATTCAAATGGGGAAAAAAAAAAACTGTTGTTGAAAGAAGAAACTATACTTTCTATACAATAGATTCTCTGTAAGTACTGGTTGATTGATTTTTTGGAACTCAAAAGAACCTTTCATATCCAGGTTTTCTTTCTACCTCTGTCTTAATTATTTGCTCATGTATTCCTTCAATAACCTTTATTGAGCTTATGGAAATGAAATTCACCAAACACTGAGAATATGAAAATAAATTTGATAGGTCCTGTCCTTGAGAAGCTCACAATTTAGCGAGCTAGTTTTCTGACCACCGAAAAGTAGTGGGTTTAATAAGTACTAGGACTTAAGTAAACTCAGAGGAGTATTTCGTGTCACACTGATTCACGTGAAGATAAGCCTGGGATGCACTTTACAATAACCCTAACTTCTTGGTAAATGGGGACTCTCCCTCCAGTGTGAAAATAAATGTAAAAGGGACTTTGTGAGTCATCTCACAGTACAGCAAAAGCTCCAGAAGATGGGGTGTTACTATAGCACTAGCTTGGGAGACAGAAAACCTGGATTCTAGTCTGTGCTCTGCTCCTCAGGCGCGGGGCGACTGCAGGAAGGTGGATTGACCTTTCTGGATCTCAGACAGCTCACTGCAGAGCGGGATGAGGGGTCCCCGGACAGACTCTGCACTAGGCAGACTGTGGGACCAAGTAGTTGGGTGGCATCACCGACTGGATGGACACGAGTCTGAACAAGCTCCGATGATGGACAGGGAGGCCTGGCCTGCTGCAGTCCACGGGGTCGCAAAGAGTCGGACACGACAGAGCGACTGAACTGATGGCTCATCTGACAGGTTATCTCGCCAAGCCTTCTCTATCTAGGAGTCTTCCCTAAGGACTAAAGAAACTGCCCCTTGGTCTACCCAGGAGCTAACCGTCGGTTCTGTCCCCGGGCCCCCAGGCCGGCCCCTGGGGCGTCCCCCTCCGGCCCGGCCGGCTCCGGAAACCCGCGCCCGCGGGACGAGGTAAAAAAACCACGTGAGGGAAACGAAAACGGGTCTCTCTGAAACAAAGGTGCCCGCGAGTGCGCTCCCGGGAAGCTAGGCCTCCGCCTGTAAACAGGAAGGGTCGCCTTCGAAGGCCGAGTCAGGGTTTCGAGGAAAGGGGATGTTTTTCCTCATCTCTCTGGCAGCACCTGACAGAAGGTGTCGTACGAACCATCATGGGCGCGACCTCACTGAGCCAGGAGGCAGGGCGAGGATGGCTCGAGATTGCCCCTCGGAGGGCCAAGAGCACGACAAAGTAATCCACTCCTCTCTATAGAACTACTCGCCTCCCGTAGCTCCGGGAGCCAGATGACCGCCGAGCCTCGCGAGGGGCGGGGGCACTATATCTCCCGGCGGAGGAGCACACGAAATCGTGACTCACAGCCTCCAAAACGCGCTGCCCTGGAGCCGGTTGCTTAGCTGGCGCTGCCGAGGCTGCTTTCCTCGCTCAATCAGAGAAGGACGCTCTGATTGGCCAGCGCGACCCTGCAGTGGTTGGCCGGAAAGAGTCGAGGCGCCTGATTGGCCACGCCGCACCTGCAATGCGTCAAGCCGCGGTGGGCGTGGAGGGCTTCCGCGTGAACGGCTGTGGGCCGAGGGGCCGCCGGCCGCCCAGGGAGGGAGCGGCTGCGCCTGTGGCCGCCATCTTTGCTAGGGGCGGCGCGGGTGCCCCGCTATCGTCGGGGTTTCTCACGGCGCCCTTGGGCCGGCAGAGAAAGGCTCTGCGACAGAAGTTTTGTGTGTTGGGGGGTGGCGGTGGGGGGAGGTTCTCTTCCCTTTTTCCGTTGCGGTGGGCCGCCTCGTTTGTGCCTAGGTCCCAGGAGGCGGCGGGGGCAGAACTGGAGGGCTGGCGGCTCCCCTGGGTGAGGCGGGCCTGGTAGGAGACCGAGGCCGCTGCCCTCAGACCGCTGGGTGTGCACTCCGTCGCCGGACCCCGGGAAGGTGCTTTGACTCCATTTCTAGGCGCGACAGGGAGATTCGCCCCCTGGGCATCTTGCTCGCGCTGGAAGGCAGTTCTGGAAACCTCTCCCGAATACGTCATGTTTTTTGCTCCTGCCGAGCGCGGTTCCCGCCTGCAGGGAATGCGTTTTGTTTTTTTGTTAAGAGCTGTAACTCCTCTAACAGCCGTCTTAGAAACTATTTACCGGCTCCAGAGATCGTGGCCTGCGGGAGCGAAACGGAGTTTGCCTGACAGACACGCTGCGAGACGTTGGCTGAACATTATTTTGATCGTACCAGTTTGGTTGCCTTTTTAGGCAACTATTGTGTTTGTGTGTGTGTGCATCCGGCTTTCGTTCGTCTCTGATACCTACCCCTGCAAAAAAGAAGAAAAAGCCCGCTTTTTTATTTTCAATTTCTCTTTTACTGTAGCAAAAGTGGTCGTGGTTCAGGAACCCCTTCGGTGGATATGGGTGAAGAAAAAGAGCTATGTTCCCTGGGTGAATTAGTGCTAGAGAAATGGGAAAAGGCCACGGTGGTCTGCTTAGTGGGAGCGTGTCTTGGTTGGGTTTTATTTGAGCCGCGCAGGTGCGGCGTGGCTATCCAAAGGTTAGGGTATTCTGGAGCTGCCTCGTGGTGTGGGCGTTGCCATGGCTGCAGGGTGACTTGCAGGGCCAATAAACCCAGCAATGCCAGGCCGCTCCCTTGTGTGAAGTCCCAGTAGTGATTGACTACCCAGGTTTGTGCATCCAGGCTTTCACCTTTCCCATCCCTTTCCAAGATGCTGGACTGATCCTTAGAGTCACACGTGGGTCTGTGTTGATTCCAGTATTGACCAAAGTAGGCACAGCCTCTGCCTTACAAGATTTTCTAATTAGAGACTGCAGTTGGGAGCATGGGTTTGATACCATTTGCTATACAATTGGATTTGTAAGTTATTGTTTCTCTTAGCTAATCACACCAATTTTGAACACTTAATCATTGGCTTTTACGCGTTTTCCCGTAGGCCTCACTTTACCTTAGGGTGCCTTCTGCCTAAAGCTAACACTGCATTTTACTGTGTATCAGTATAATGCCAGAGTTCATGGACACTGCAAAAGAAAGACAACCGCAGTTTTGCATCATCTCCACGTAGCAAGAACTCCTCGTGCCGCAGTGGGACACGCAGTAATTCAGTGTTCTTTAGCAGCTGCGCTGCTGGGAGTCAGCCACTTTGCTTGCACTGTGAGAGAGCGAAGGACGAAGTCTTCCAGAGCCTTGGTTTCTTCTGTAGTGTGAAGAGAACCAAGTCTTGTCTCACAGCCCCTGTGAGCGTTGCGTAAGATAAAAATGTGCCAGGACTTGGTAAATGGTAGAACTATTGACGATAATATTCATCTGCTAAAGCATTGGAGTGCCCATAACTGTCTGACCTTGTGATAGGAAGATTTTCCTTCAATATTTTCTTCTTTGTGGGAAGAACAGATGGACAAACTCAGATCTAAAATAAACCTTAAATGGCCTGGTGTTTTTCTTAATTGAAGCATAGTATTAATATAGCCTTGTTAGCATGCAGTGCCAGATTTGAGGGCCCTTAGAGTGACTAGCTAGCTCATCAGTTTGCCTTGGTCTTTCCTAGTTTTAGCATCAAAGGCACATGTCCTAGAAAGCCCCTCTGTCCCAGGCAAACCAGGACACTTGGTCACCCTTGGATTGTTTTCACTGTCACAAAATGGGAGGATGAACAGAATAGGAAATGAAGATTCCAACTATGTAGAGGCAATTAGATTTCCCTGCAGCTGGAGGCCACTGGGCTCAAGAAAAGGGATGTCCTTGTGTGAGACGAGTGTGGGGTGGGGCCTGAAACATAGCATGTCCCAGTCAAACATGATTTTACCCATCTTTATTATTCTTCCTTCTCTCAGTCCCCACACAGAATTTTGCTTTTATATTTTTGAAGTTTCTTATTTAATGCTAATCTTTATCTCTGGTGATGAATGAAAGTCGCTCAGTTGTGTCTAACTCTTTGCGACCCCATGGACTATACAGTTCATGGAATTCTCCAGGCCAGAATCCTGGAGTGGGTAGCCTTTCCCTTCTCCAGGGGATCTTCCCAACCCAGGAATTGAACCGGGGTCTCCTGCATTGCAGGCGGATTCTTTATCAACTGAACTATGAGGGAAGCCCAATCTCTGGTAAAGGCTTTCCCAAACGGTTCATCACTTGAGTGCAGAAGTACTTGTTTATGCCGTGGACCCGTTCGCTAGTCTGATGCAGCGTAATGCTGCTGCATTGCACTTAGAGGCTAGTGAAGGTAGATGTTCTGCTTTTCCACCCAAGTTGATGGACCTGAATTGTCTCCATGTAGGCCAGGTTCAGAACCCTGCTCCCTCTCCCTCACCCCGCTGCAGTTCTCTTTCCAGTCTTGTCTTTTATTCTCTTTCACCTTTGCATTCTTGCCATTATATGTCACCAATATAGTTCAAGACTGTTTTCTAACTATTGCAAAAGTTGGTCTTTCACCTCTAGTTCTGTCTTATGCCCAGCTGATGGAGTAGTGTTTCTAAAGCATACATATGACTATATGATTTTTGTCCTCAACCGCCCATGGCTTCCTTTGGCCTTTTGGATTAAGTCCAGTTTCCTTAGGAATTCCTACCGGGTCTTCCTATAATCTGACCTTTCAGTCCTAATAACCTACTACCCTTTGCATCTGCTAAATTTCGGCCATACGGACTGTTCTTCAGTCTTTTCCCCCTCCATCTTTGATTCAGGTTGCTTTCTGGGCCTAGATTTCTGATTTCCATCATCTCTGCCTAACAGAGTTCTGATATCCTTAAAGACAGTTCAGATGTGAAGTTGGTTGATATAACCTCTCCCCCCGCTGGCCCCTCAGTGCTTTATCTTACCCTCTCTGTTCTCACTGTTTGGTGGGAGTACTTGACTACTTATTCTGTAAATGGTTTTCAAGTCTCTTGTGAGTGTGGCCCTATAGCGTGGCCTTTCGAGGCCCTGGGGATATAAAACTGATTTGAACCTTGGTTTTTAAAGGACTTACATTTTAGGTTGGGAGGTAATGTGACCCTAAGTAACACTTTTTTTCAAGGTGAAAGAAGACAAGTATCAGGCATCCAGAATGAGAGCTCACTTTGCTAGAGCTTTGTGGAGGAGGTGGCATCCGCTCTCACTTGGTGGGTCAGCAACTGCCATGGATGTAGACTAGGAAGGCCTTCCATACGGAGGGACTGCGAGGAACAGAGCAACCGAGCTGAAAAGACCGGCGGCTGTTAAGGAAGGAGAAGTTGTCTGTTGCTGAAGGGCCTCGTGGGAGACAGGCTGGAGGCAGATTGGTTAAGGCTAGATAGAGAATGGCCACACACTGCAGGCCAGAAGATAAGACTCTCCTGTGTGCATGGGGTCCGTTGCAGAGTTTTGACAAGAGGCTGACCGAGTCAGAAGTGGGTTAATAATTACGTGGCAGCAAAGTGGGAGGTGAATTTTACAGAGAGAGACTGTAGACAGAGTGATGAGAACAACAAGAATAATGGCAAACACAAGGTTCCATGCAATATCCTTACTTGCAGTATCTCATTTATAGCTCATAAAAACCTTATTATTCATTCCTTTTCACAAAAAAAGAAATTGAGGTTAGAGAGTATAAATAACTTGCCTGGCTTCACCCATGGTGACAAGAGCTGGAAGTTGAACTCATGTACTGTATACAGTAGTTGGTCCACGCATTAGCCTTAAAGTGTTAGCAGTGGGGTCCAGGAAATGATACTTGTTCACTTACAGTGCTTTATGTACCTTGAGGTGAAGAATAAAAAAGCAACAGATACTAGTATGGTTGGACTGAATTCTGGACTGTCTTCTCCAGTGTTGGTTTCAGCATATATCTCCTACATGTTTTTCTATATGAAAAAGATAAGATCAGTAAGCAAAATGTGTTGTTCCAGTTTTACAAAAACTCATGATACCCAAACGAGGAAAGGGTATAGATGCTCGGTGGCTTGGCTTTCCTACCTGAACTCAGAAACGTCGCAGAGGAAGAGTGCCAGCAGCATGGCTTGGAGATGCGCCAGGTTATGCTTCCAGATACGACTCTTGATGGGGTGTGTTTCCTGAATGTGAACTAAAATTTTTCAAGGGATTTGCCTGCAGGAGAAAGACTTTGAGCTAATACCCACTAAGACATTTAATGGGTTCAGAGCACTGGAGGGGGAATTTTCCTGTGCTCCGGTCACATCAGCATCCCTCGCCTCTATCACTGTAGGTGCTCAGTCGTGTCTGACTCTGCAACCGCAGCCCGCCGGGCTCCTCTGTCCACATGGGCTTTTTCAGGCAAGAAGACGAGTGGGTTGCCATTTCTTCCTCTCCACCACAATGCCCCCGCCCCCCCCCA